TCCATGGCAACTGGGAGAAATTCTGCATGCTCTGGGATATCCACATAATATGTGCTCTGACCAATATAAAATGGACAACTAGCATCGTTGGGCACACTCTTTTCTCAGTTTTTTCCAAGTTTCAAACTCATTAATCATTGCCCTCTTTTGTCTTTTCCTCTTCTCTCTTCGTACAAATGTTTCACCTCTCATCATTTGCTTCATTTTTTATTCAATTTTTCAGACATAAGATTCTTCTTCCTCCATCAAAGCCACGGGTCTGATAAAGGGTGTGATGGTTCTCTGGTGATGACTTTTGGGGAGCAATGTTGTCATATGAGGAGGAGCTTCGATCAGCGGCCATTTCCAGGCTTCCGTTGCACAAGCAGAACAACGTTACACTTGTCAAGCAACCATCTCGAAAGGCCAGTGAGTCAGACAACGTCGGTGGAAGGAGAAGTTCGAAAAGCCCAAGTCCAGTTCAAATACAATCAGAGGTACTGTTGTAAGCTTGATTACAGGGGGTTATTTGAAATAAGGGTCTTTTCACGCAACTGAAAATACTGTAGCTAATTAGGTTGTACCCCTAGTGCAATACACTACTAAAGAACTGACCTTTCAGACGAAGAAAACTGGTGGTGGTAAGAGGAGGTGGATGGTTAGTGAGAAAGAAAGTGGAGCTCCACATGGCTTTACAATGAAAATGATGCGGAGAGAGAAGGGGGGAAGAGGGGGAATTAATTAATGAGTTTGGGGAGGAAAAAAATTGAGAACGGAGTGGGCCCATTAATACCATTTGTCTGTCTTATACTGGTCAGCACATGTTTATATGGTACACCCAGCGCACACAAGAATTTCTCTAGCAATTGGAAGAGTGTATTCCAGTTTTTTCATGAATCTCCTCAAGACTGACATAGTTTTTTTGCAATATGTTATAAGCAACTTTCTAGAGGAAGGTATTGATTTTTGAAAATTGGGAATCTTCTTGGAGGTCAAAATGATAATTGATAGAGAAAGATGGATAAGATGTTAACAGGATGGAGAAATTAATCGCATATGTTAAAATGATGGAATGCTCCCTCTCTGCTAAGCTTCAGGAAAAAGAAGAATCACCGCCCCATCCAAATGATAACCGATCAACAAAGAAAGTAAAGATACGCAATGAACCTCAACATGATGAATTTGACCTGCTTTCTTACAAACCTATCTCACCATCTGATGAAGAAATGTCTGCTGATAAGGTCAATGAACCTCAGCTGCTAAACGATTCTGACATGCTGCTTCTACCTCGTGGACGCCGAATGTTCCTTCCTTTAAGGACATGCTTCTTAACCATAGCTCAAGGAAAAGAGAAGAGGACGAAGACCTAGCCTTTCAAGAGAGGGACATAACTGTCAATAGAATAGGACCCTTCCCCTTCCATAACCTTCTCTAAACGGATCCATAAACTTTTGAATGAGAGTATGAAGTTCGCAGTGGTGGTCAAAGTGCTAGGTTGCAATATCAGTACAAGACCTACAAGACGAAGTTGTTAGCCTCTGGAAACTCTCTCGCTCAGTGCAAATAACTGATCTGTTAAGGAACTGTTTCAATTCACGCCAAACTAAGCAATGAGCGTGACTATCATGAGGTACTGTTAGAGAAACGACCCTGGGTTATATTTGGACACTACCTCACAGTACACAGCCTAAACTCTTGGATTTATCCCAATCAACCACACTAACTCTCAGGTTATGGTTGAATTCGCATTCCAGGTCTGCCGACTAAGTATTACAAGAAAAAGTGTGATTAGAGTTATTGGTGAAATTCTGGGGAAAGTTCTAAGAATTGACCATAACAGGGGAGTGAGGTAAGTTCGCACGAATGGCTATTCTTATTGATCTCTCCTCACCGTCTAACTTGTAAGATGGAGGTTGATAATCATACCCTCCCTCGTTTGAGTACAAGGGGTTGTCGTTGTTACGGTCATCTTGAGGATATTTGTCTGAAGAAAGAATGGGGCAAAGAAGCTGTGCCTCCGATCAACCCAATGATTCATTGATCGCACACAGCGGCGCATACAACACATGCAGCAACGGAGACAGACACACTTTATGGTGCATGGATGCAGGCACCAATCAGAGGACGATGATGAGGGTATTCAGAGAAAAAAGAGACTCAAGGAACAGTAGTTACCAAAAGGATGCTACAAAAGGAACGTTACCAAAAGGACACTAAAATAAAAACAGAACAGAGTTTAATTTTAACAAATTTTTTAAAGAAAATAAAAAGTCTAAATGGGTCAGCCCTCTTGTAGGTCGGTTTCAATTTGATGAGCAAAATCACAAGCCCAGTTCTCATAATTTTCAGTTTAAACGAGCCGACCCAATGATCTCGGCTTGTTTTCTTTACTCTAAGCTGAAAGGAATGTAGCAACGAATTCACACATTTTGCCCTTAAAAACTTAACCCTCCATTGGGATGAAAAGAAAATTGGGACACTCATCATCAATAAAAAAATGCAAAACAACTCGTTAAGTATCCAATTTTAAAAAGAATCAATCCGAATTATTCAGTTGGTTTGATTATTTTCAACTCAATGTTCACTTTCTAATAGGTTTATCATATTTTCAGATATATTTTTCCCTAAATTAGTTAGTTAAATCATTATATTATTATAAGATTAAAAAAAATCAATCTAATATATAAAAGCATGGAAATCAAGGTCATATCATAGTGTTTTTACACATATTTCGATCATCGCCAGAATACTAAAAACAAATCTCTCTACGTTTCATTAGGGAAAACTAATCTAGCAGTCCTTAGAGTTTCATTCCAATTTTGAATTAGGTCCTCATATTTTTTTGTTTTTATTAAATCCTTATTATTTATTCTGTTAATTATATCAGTCCTTCCGTTCCCAAATCTGTTAGTTTGGCATCTGAGCAGACCATCTTCCTGACTCAGCTGCTGCTTACTCCCTCAGCTTCTATTTCACTCTCCCCCTCCTCTTAGTCTCCTTCGAAGTAAACGCAATCGTCTCTCTCACCAATCATGTTCTGTTTTTCTGGGCCATAGTTTTCGCCTCTTCTTCTACAACATCACATAAGAATGAGAAGAAGAAGAAAAGGAAGCAGAGGGTGCGATGGGCAAGGTGTCATCTGGAACATCAACGTGAGGCATGTCTAGAATCTTGAGAGAGGGAGGAGTAGGAGATTCTAATCGGTATTCTTTGCCATCTACTATTGAATTTTGAAATGATAGCTTTTTGTCTTATATTGACATTAATGGACCTTGACTCGTTCTGTTGCCATCCTTTGACAAACTACTGCTGATTCATATAGGTGTGCTCGGATATGACAATCTGAGGGTAAAGTTATTTATTTTTTCCCCCCAAAAGTTTCTTAGGCAATTATAATTGCTTCATCCTATCTGTAGATCAAATTTTTTTCGCCACTTTCTGCAGATGAAATTAAACTCTTACAAGTTTCTTCCCCTTTGCACTTCCCTGTGTTTCTTAATTAGACAATGGCGTTTACTTCGAAGGAGACTGAGAGGAGGAGAGACAGAGATAAAAGCTAAGGGAGGTGGTGGTAACTGACCCAAGAAGACAGTCTACTCAGATGCCAAACTAACGGGTTTGGGAACGGAAGGGACTGATATAATTAACAGAGTAAATAATGAGGATTTAATAAAAACAAAAAAAACTATAAGGACCTAATTTAAAATTAAATGAAACTATAAGGACTGTCAGATTAGTTTTCCCTTTCATTTATTACTATAGCTATTGCAAAAAGTACACTATAAATATACCTATAACATACTCTATCGAGGGCACCGAATATCGTAAACTTTTTTAAGGTGCGAAAAACATACATGAAATTTTTAAAACGGTGCAAAAATATTATAATCATTTAGTCAACTAACATCTTGTCAACCAAAAAAATAGTGTAAAAATACACAAAATTTTTAAAATGGAGCAAAAATACATCTTAACTTAAGATTCTTAAGTTTGCAACAACCATGCATTTTTGCCCAATTTTAAAAATTTCATGTATATTTTTGCACTATTTTCTTGACTTACATGTTGGTTAAATGATTAATGTTTGCTGATATAACCAAAGCAAAAAAACTAGATCAAATCAGTTTGGACATTGAACCGGTTAAAGTTGAATTGATATTGAACCGGTCAAACCAAAGTGAACCGTAAAAACTGATGATAAACCAGTTTGAATGATTATATTATTATTGGTCCTATTTTTTCTCCTTTAACTCTTAAAATCTCAGTAGATTTAAATGAATTTTAATCATAATTTTGCTATTATTAATCATTAATTTTAATTAGTAATAAATTGTAAAGATTAAAATTCTCAATGTTGTTACGTTTTGTTATTATTACTATCAAAATATTATTTTATTTCTTTCTATTTTGTTATTATTAAATTATTAATGTTGTTGTATTTTGTAAGTTTTAATTAAATTGTTTTATTTTAATATGACTGGTTTGACTCAAAATTGACCCCGATTCAACCAACTGATTCTTGAACCACTATGTCAGTTTGGTGTTTAATCCGGTTTTTTGTTTTTTGGAATGGCCATGACATTCTCACACTAAAAAATTTTATGGTATTAGATGCCCATAACCAAATGTTGCACGAGTAGAGTTGCCACTTAACCCTACAAAAAATATCAGTTGAATCAGTCAAACTTCCAAGGAAACATAAAAAGCAATCAGCCAAAAGATTCTGCCATGTAACAAACAGATTCTGACTTGCTTTATTTACACTTTTGTTCGATTCTTGTCACCAACTATCGTGCTAAACATGTGTTCCAATTTCATACGAAGTAGGGTTTGCTCTATCAGAATGAAACTTTCATTTTTTGGAGAGTAAATCAATTATTTCCCCTCGATTCCTCTAAATAGATGGTCCAAATCAGATCTTCCATTTCATTTCCTTCCAGAAACATGCCAAGAACAGAACAATATTCCAGTGAAGAAGCAACGCTTTGCAAGCGACTCAAGACCAACCCCAAGCAAAAAAGGATCTCACACAAACAAATACTATGCAATCATTAAAAGTTCTAACTACAATCTTAATATAGTAAATCACTCAATCACCAAGCCATAATCACCTCAGCAACAATAAATACAATCATGAACCACTAAAACCTTGGAAATTCCAAATTCAGTCCGCATAGGAAAGTCATGACATCCATAAATAAAATCCTACTAGCAACTCACATGGCATCTATATATATAAAAGGATCCAAAGTTTAAAGTACAGAATACATATCCTAAAGATATCCCCACGCTACTGGTGCCCCTCGCCTGTTGGTTGCTTAGATGCTTCCTTGATCTCATCCCCAGCATCATCCTGAAACCACGAATAAGCTTCCTAAGGAACGATTCAAAATGATGGTTTCAAAGAAAAAGGGGAATTAAACAAAATCCCAGATAGGGGCAAGGTTTAGCCACCAACCCTGTCCAAAGTAAACACAGATTGCACTAAGCAATCATTGAAAACGTATCTAATAAAGCCATCAGCAGTATTAGACGACATATGACTTTTTGCAGTGACCAAAGTAATAATGCCTAAGAATCATTCATGTCATAGCTGCAGATTTCAGCAAAATTACGGGCAAACTTCAGTTATCCCTTCGAAGAAAGCCCAAAGATCCATGACTACTACAGGGCAACAACCAAGCCTGTAGGTATTCGGATATTCAAACCACAGGGGTCATGAGAACACTACATGATTGTCCACACGAGCAAGTTTAGATTGTTTTCATTTAGAGAGCAGGTTTTCTTTTTGGTTTTTCAAGTGAAAACGGATAACCTCATTGCATCAAGAAACTGTACAAAAAGATCAAGCTTTGCAAAATATCAGGACCCACCTCTTCCCCATTACAAGGTAGCCTATCAAGAGAGGTAAAAACAGAATAATGATCATGAAAGCAAGTTTAACTCATGACAAATTAAATATTTCTAACTTATATTTAGTTTAAAAGAAATAGAACTATCTATGGTTTACTCCTCAAGAATTCAAGTTTACTAGCAATCATGGGTTGCAGGATACTACATAAATGCCCAATATTTTTGAATTACACGACAGCAGAGAAAGGATAGAGGGAGAGACCGTGATGTCAGATGTCCACAAAGTCAAGTTGTCTCGGAGAAGCTGCATGATCAATGTACTGTCTTTGTATGACTCTTCACCCAATGTGTCAAGTTCAGAAATTGCCTCATCAAAGGCCTGCCATATGAGGAAAAAGAACACAAACACGGTAAAAGTCAGGAGGAAGGGATATAAGTTCCAAAAATTTAATCAACATGGCTTGAAAGATCAACTAAATAATAAATCAACCTTCTCACATTATGAAGAGAAGAACCTTGTGGTAAGGAATGAATTTTTTTCCCCCCCTTTTAAATCAGGAGTCGGTTAACAAGAACCTCATTTCTTTCAACGCAAATTACTACAACCATGTGATTACAAAATATATCTTATTTGTGGACTTGGTCAATAGCCATCACCTTGTTCTGTTCAAACACTAACAAAAAATCAATATAATATACAATTCATATCACATAATGAAGGTGATATGAGCCCTGCCATTAAATAAGTTATTCCAACAGTGAAGTGGAGGCTAACAAATAAACATAATTCCGTTTGTCAATGACAACAGAGACAGGGCACGTATACAATCCATTTATCAAATCAAATAATTTACAAAAGTCAACTTCAACCACGTTTGACTTAAATTAACCAAGTTCACTTCCCTGCAAACCCTTTAAAATAGTCCTGCAAGCACTTCAATCTAACCACATATTGAATGTTTTTGAGCCATATTAATCAAACACACGACTTGAGTGAGCAATGGTCCCAATACCACTGAAGTTACTAATTTTATTGTAGAAAACCCTGTTAAGATATGCAACAAATATCTAGGACCCATCAACATTAATATTTGCTGCAATAAAAAAAATATAGTAATTGTATAAATAGCAAGTGATACCTGCTTAGCAAGATTACAGGCACGATCCGGGGAGTTGAGGATTTCATAATAGAATACAGAAAAGTTGAGAGCAAGACCAAGCCTTATTGGGTGCGTTGGGGCCAATTCTGCTAGAGCAATATCCTAGAACAAACAAAAAATAATGATAATAATTCAGGGTTCAGTAACATATCAAGACTATGAAAAGTAGAAATAATTCTATAGAAATGTGGAAACTTGTAAACAGTAGCAGAGTATGCGTATAAATGAAAGTGAATGCCTACTTGAGCAGACTTGTAGGCCAACAAAGTATTCTCCGCAGCCTCTTTTCTCTCAGCTCCTGTCTTGAACTCAGCAAGGTATCTATGATAATCACCCTTCATCTTAAGATAAAACACTTTAGACTCAGCAGATGAGGCGGATGGAATAAGATGAGACTCAAGAAGGCTCAAAATCCCATCACAGATCTTGCTGAGTTCAGACTCAATCTTGCCTCTGTACTCCTTTATAATAGCAACATGGTCCTCATTACCCCTGCTCTCTTCCTTCTGTTCAATGGATGAAATTATCCTCCATGAAGCCCTTCTAGCTCCAATCACATTCTTGTAAGCCACAGAAAGGAGATTCCTCTCCTCCACCGTCAACTCCTCAACATCCACTGTCTTAGCAACTTTCTCCATAAACTCAACCATCTCCTCATACCTCTCTGCTTGCTCTGCCAACTTGGCCATGTAAACATTTTCTTCACGCGACTCGGTGGATGACATCTTCGCCACACAAATCTATCTCTTAATAGTTCAAACTGATTTCAAAATAAGAAAACAACCCTATCAGATTTGTACACCAACAAACGCAGCGCATAGTTGAAGTTGCAGGAAAACAATGAAAGAAATCAACCAAGCCCATCTAACAAAATGAATATCAGTGGCGACCAAACGAGAGGGGCACAGCAGCCATTCATCAGCCAAATTTCCTCTTCCACTTATCACGACTCAGTCTCAGACATCATATTCATCAACTAAATGCTAGACTTTCAACAATCCAGAAATACCGAATCCTTTGAAACAACCAAACAAGTAAAGAATTTGATATCCAAATCAAGACGCACACTACCCACAAAAATTAAGAGGGAAAACAAAAACAAAAACGAAAATAAAATTAAGATCGACGAAACTACCATAAAGATAAGTAGATAACTGAAGAATCGAGGAGAAAGCCAAAAAAACACAGAAGAGAAACAAAACCCTAGAGAGAAAAATTGAGACTTGGATCAAGGACGCTTACCTTGGTGCGTGTTCACTGGGAGAGACTGGGATGGAGGCGAACGAAGGAGTGGGGTTCGGGCATTAAAAAATGAACGCCGCTAGGATGGGGAGAGAGAAGAGGGAGGAGCAGAAAAAGATGGAGGTCCAATGAGGACATGACACGTGGAAGTTGGCGGAGATTCCGTGGGAATTTGTCTTTTTTGGGCCACGGTGGCGAGCGTTGACCGTCAATTAAAAGATCCGATGGGGTTGGATTGATGATGTGATATAACTAGTGAATTATAATTGAAAGGTGTCATCAATTTTTAACTTTACACGCCAAGATGAAGCACTAGGCTGCTTTAAATGGAGGGGAAATGTCGTTGGCAATTAATAAACAAAAAGAAAAAAGCAGGAAATGATGGGGAGTAAAATTTCTCACTGAAAAAAGGAAAAGAAGAAAAATGTTGAGCAAAATATTGTTTTTGAAATATTATTGTTATTATTATTTTGCTAGGCCAAAAGCAATTCCCACAGCGTCACATTTGTATTTTATGGGTAGAAATTTTCAGCGTGGCATCTTAGCATCAAGACAATGGCTTTATTAGAGATATTAATCAGTTGCTAATCACACAATTAGTTAATATCTTGCGTGTGCGTGTGTCAATCATCCTAATCTGTTTATAATGGATTCATTATCATTGGTTTTAGGTGTGGTGGGATATGTATAAGAAAAGAAAATAATATTACCTCCTGTTCTTATTATAAAAACTAGTTAATTAATTTAAGATGATTAGAAAAATAAATTAAATTAGTTATTTATAATAAATAAGTGTTATCTTTTCTAAAATATCCATACTAATCAAGTGTATTGGTTAGAACTAAAAATAAAAACAGGCTAGGTGACCTGTTAGAAGCCTTTAGCCTGACCTACTTCCTGCCTGATCAGGCCAGGCCTACTAAAAAAATAAGTACAGGCTCAGACCTCTTTGAAGGCCTATTTCATCTACCAAGCAGTTTGAACCTGTTATGAATTTGCAATATCGTGTATTGGCTAGAAACCTAGAACCAAGGGTCAAAACAGGTCAGACAATCTATTAAGACCTTCGGCCTGGCCTACTTCCGCCCCCAAACCTGCTAAAAAATAAGTACAGGGCCTATTTTGCCTATCAAACAGTCTGAACCCAAAACCTGCAAGTGAGATGGTAGTAATCTTACCACTACACCACCACCGCACCAACACCTTTTGTTGATGCCCATCGTGCAGGATTTATAATTTTAAACCCAATTAGTTCAGTAAAAAACACCTCTACCCTTACGGGCTTTGGTTTTTTCGTCCATCTCTTAACTCTTTGGTTCAATCTAGCCGCCGCCGCCGCTGCTTGAGCTCTCCATCTCCACTCTCGACTTTGTTCTCCATTCTCCAAGTGTCACCGGTGCCGTTCACGATCTCCAGCTCTGACGTCGCACGGTCGGACCTCACAAGGCACAGTATCGCTGTCGTTCACTCTTCAGCTCTGAGCTTGCACGGTCGGCCGTTTGCACACCATCCCAATCTCCGGATCTAATCTCTCATCCTCCTCAGCCCTCATTTAGCTCGTGCGTCGTCAATAGGTAAGCTTTTTGTTACAAACTAAACTTTGATAACTAGAACCCTACTTTCTCTCGTCCATCGTATTCAAATAGCAAAAACGGTCGGCTGTTGATATGGTTTCATTATTCATGGCAGAAATCGCAGAAATTTGAAGTCTGAATATGATTATATATTCATGGAAAAAATCGCTGAAATCAGAAGTCACGCCATGAATATATATACATATATACAAGGTCCCATATATATATATATATTAATGGCAAAAAACGCAAAAATCTGAAGTCACCGCCATGAATATATATAAAATATATATGGAGAGTATCAGATTTTATCAAAATTTTAATCATTTAGTGATGTGCTTATGTTTTATAATTTTTCATTGCTCTTCTTCTTGTTCTTTTTGTCGTGCCTCATTTATAGATTCTACAGTAGCCTGTGTTGGGCCAATGGATCAAGATTTTATGAGACATTTGATAAGCCGTAGGGCTGCTTCAATTTCTACTCAAATGTTAAAAATCATTATGAAGTTTACAATACAAGACCTAACAGATTTATCTATTTAACACTTACCCAAAAAATGAATCTACTTGAAAATGTTGGATTAGTTGAATGCGAAGCATGAGTTCATGAAGAGAATAGTTGTGTTCCTGTATTTTTGTTGGGTCAAATACCATAGAGGATAAGATGCAGATCTCTGTTCAGAGAGTTTGTGTGTGACAGCTTCTAGCAGTAGTGGTTCAAAACAGGATTATGGCAATTAAAGTGTGCAACACAGATAAATAAAAATGTGTGTTGATTTTGGCATGATAGATTTCTTACAATAATTGAATGATTTTCTGACGTCAGTGAGAGATTCTGATTTTTCCTGGTTCTTAACTATGGAGAGTTTAAGCTCTTAACCATCTGATCATGTTTAGATTGGCATGAACATCTTGAAGTCGTAATAAATAATATATTATAACCATATATGTACCTTGAGATGCAGTCACTCAGACATTGAAGAACTCAAACTCTTCATAAGATTTCCCTTTTTCTTGCTGAATCCTGATTACTTTGATTCCACGGCACATATGCTTTCAATATAGATGATACGGGTTATTTCATTAATGTAATTCACATGGGGCTGAAAAATGATGGTAAGGCCCTAGTCCGATTTCCAGGAATGTTTTTTAGTCAGTGTAGTTGTGGAGCAGTCTTATTCTCATTGGTCAAAGTTCAAACCATTCGAATTCGTTAATATTTATGAAAATGGTGTTAAATCTCCTCAAACAATAAAAAATCTTGGTTTTCAAATACCATATATTGAATGGCAATCATGTTATCCAAAATTTCTGGTTTCAACCTATTTAATTTCCATGAACACCTTTCTGCCTTGAATCCTTACATGTGTCAAATTTGGTTCTCTTTTAGATTTAAAGTGACCAAAGCAAATTTGAAGATTTTTGAGTCCCAATTACAGTGCAGCATTGTGTAATGTTGAATCGAACCGGTGTTGTTCTAGGTTAAGTTTATATTTTCAATATTATGCTATTACTGTGATTCCTTTGGTTCAGTGATGCGGACATTCTTTTTATGTATTGTATTGTGTGTTTTGGCCTTATGGCAGAGACTGATATGAATGACTCAGGTGGCATAAATGTGAATGCAGTAAGCGGCTTCACATATTATTATGCTGACATGTGTTTTAGGGAGTTTGATGACAGTGTGTTTGTATTGGAGTATTGAGAACGGACTCAATGTCTTCCCATTAATAGCCTGTTTGTTTTTCTGTTCAAATGCTTTCATATCTTTTCAAGTCCAACAATTTTTTCTTTCCTCCAAATAGAGTGTTGCAACTCATGAAAACCATTCTGAAGAATAAGCCAAACAGTTCTTTTCATTTTTTTCCCTCTAAATTAATTTTAAGAACCATTGCTTCAAACCAATTTTTATAAATCATGAATATGAAGTTTATATTTTGCTTGTGTTCTTTTGACATTGATCATTGTCCGTTCTGATAAATAGTTTATCATTAACACTTGGTGTGGTTTAAAGGATACATGTGAGTGAGCCAAATTTTTCTTCTTAAAAGGATTGTTAATAACTGTGTAGCGAGGTATCCTTTGAATGAAATGTCCTGAGGTAAGCTGGAAATTTAAACTTTGATGGCATGATGCTTGAATTTAAACCTTGAGGTATATTTTATTTAGGTTTTATTTAATACATTTCATAAGGATATAAGTCCTGATTTTTAAATTTTATCCATCTTTTAAAAAAATATGTGGTTGGCCTGCACAAACCACCAAGTGGATGGGATTGATAAAATCTCGACCTACAAGAAAAAGGGTCGGCCTGGCCCTGCTTTGGGACCAATCCTTGGTTTTGCCCAACTTTTTCTGCCCTTTTTATTTTGCTTCTTCAGAAAATTGAATTGTAAGTTGGTGATTTTCTTTCTTTTGCTACTAGGTTCCAACTAGCCTTTCATCAATGGCTACACTTCAACCTCTGTTCCGCAAATCTTCTCAGTTCTCTGTAACCCTACGTTCATTTGCCACTACTGCAAAGCCTTCCCACCATAATGATCACAAAAGGAACCACAAATTCCTCGAACCCAGCTCCTTCATTGGAAGTTGGGAGGCTCCAAAGGACCCAAAGGAGGCAGAGGCTAGGCTTGCCCAGCTCAGAAGAGACTATGCCAAGCAGGTTAAGGAGGTTCGCAAGGCATATATCCAGGAGATGGAGCTCATGAGGCTTGAGAAGCAGAGGAAGGATGATGCTAGAAGGGAGGCCATTAGGGTTGCTAATGAGCAGCGTAAGAAGCTCAAGGCTGAGGTTGCTAAGGTCAAAGCTGAAGAACGCAAGATTGCCCAAGAAGAATTTCGACAAACCCTTGTACGTGGCCCCCTCTTGCCCATTTTTTCACCTGTATCTTTTGGGTTTTCTTTATTATTTCCTGGGATTCTGTTTGGTCCAAGGAAGTGCTTTATGGGATAATGAAATAATTAACAGGAAAAGATTATCCAAATCATGGAAGATGGGAATGGTTTGGTAGTCCTACAGATGTTTTTTTTTCCCTTTTTTTTTTCCCTCCTTATAATGAAACCGAGTGTGTGGTTAAGTAATAATGTATTCTTGTATTATGCTGCTATTTAATTGTGTCTTCTTAACTATTGGACTAGATGTTAGCGTGAAATCTGCTACAAGGAAAATGAGTAGATTTAAGATGGAAGAAAGAAAATGTTACCGTGAGAAACCCCAGTGATTGCAGATTAGTGTCTGTGGCAAAATGGTGCCTCCCCTACCTGAGTCAGTAACACCATACACCTGCTATGCTAACCCAGCATCCTATTCTTATTCTAATTAGTACCAAACATGCACAGAAAGGCGCACACACAATACATGATACAAACACAAGTCAGCAACATAATGAAAACACACAAAACATAAAAATGAGGCAATCCCCACATATAGACTTTTATCCTATTAGAAACTACTTGTTCTCAAGAGGTTGGGCTGGGGCATGACCATCCAACTTA